TGCATCTGGCCCACGTCCTCACTGCCTTTGGCCATTGACTCAATGCCACTCTTACATGCCCCCCTTCCTTTTAAACGTCCCTGATGGTTTCTTCTGACAGCTGAGCTACACCAACGCCTGCTTGGGCACAGTTCCAAGGCGGAGGAGCAAAGGAGCACAGCACATGCAAGAGAGAGAAGGTTCAGGCCAGGAACATAGGGCTGGAGGGGTGGGAGACCGGCTGGACCAGGGCTCCCAGGGCTAGACCCTCTCTTCCTTTGAGCCTGAGCAGGGGGCTCTGGGGAGTCCAGAGGAGGCCAAGCCCAAGCCGTCCTCCTTCCCTGGGCAGGAAGGGCCTGGGAGACATGCTCACCTGGGATCAGGAAGGGCTCAGGAACGCCTGGCCAGTGAAGCCTGCTAGAAACTGGGGGGACTTGGCAACTACAGACTCACCCCTGCCCTGTGAAGGGACAGCACTGAGGGAACCCTCGTCTCCCCTGGACTAGGCCTCAGGGTTGGTCAGAGCCAGAGCTGGGCAGGAAAGCGGAAGGGCCAGTGGGCACCCAGCCAGGCTGCTGGATGGCTCTGGGGGGGCTGGCCACAGGTTGGTGGGTGTGGTGTGACCCCGGAACAGACCAGATGAACTCCATGTGAAACCCCCAGCTGCCCAGAGACGGCCGGGCCAAGTAGCAGCTCTGCCCCCTCCTATTCTCATCCTGAACCTCACAGAAGCCTTACTGTTATTTTTAATACGGTTCGTTTTTAGAAAGGTGAGAGGGAAACCGGCAGTTCACCAGAGCAAGAGGGAGAAAAAATAAAGCTAAACATAGTGCTCCAAAGATCTGGTCCAGCTTCCGAAATTACACGTTCCCCTTTGGGACTCGGGCATAATTTGCCGCTCCGGTTCTAGGAGCCCATTTCTAGGAGCCCATTTCCACCTTCACGGCGTCCCAAAGACTATAACCGGAGCAGCCAGCTCAAAATTAGCCCCGACCGGGCAGGCAGGGAGCAGCCAGCCCCAGCACCCCACCCACCGCACCCCACGGTGGGGGGCACAGGTCAGCATGCCTTGGGAAGCTTCCTGCATGCTAGCCGGGGTTTCCTCCCTAACCCCCAAGCCCATCACACACACACACACACACACACACACACGGTCCCACTACCAAGCCCTTGCCCAGCCACTCTACCCACCAGAAAAGCCTTCCTCTCCCCTCTGCTGTTCCAACCCCATGCCCTCGGAGAAGCTTTCCTGATTACTTTGGCCACACTGACCTCCAAGGGCCAAGAGAGCCCATGATCTTGGTGTCCTTGCTAATAAAGCGTTTCATCACTTTGATGCCACCCTGGGCATCTCATTTTAAATCTGCTAACATGTCTCTCATCTGTCTCCCAACCAGAGTGAAAACATCCCCAGTGTGCTCCTGCTCTTTATCCCTCCTCAGCACACACGTATTCCCCACCCCCAGAAATTCTTCTCACGAGACTTAAAAAGGAGACCCCCCTCCCCTATCCAGAGTGGTCTCTCATGATTATAGCCAAGAGTCACCCTTCACCAGGTGTCCCCAGGGGCATCTAGTGGTTGGAAGTGGGGTGACATATGGGGTGAACAGAGGACACCACCTCTACTTTGAGCTTGAAGGCCCTCTCTAGGGAGGAGCAGGTTCCGTGTGTTCCTGCACCCTGATTCTCTCTCCATCTTCATAATCAGAACACCAGAGCTAGCTCAATGAAAAAGCAGCTTAGTAAACAAAGACCCCAGTTTTGTTTTAAAGATAGAGTCCAATTCAGAGTCAGAGACATAATCGGAGACAGGAGAAACCCAGGAGAAAGGCAAGGCTAGAGAATGACGGGTTGGTGGCAGTTCATTCAGATTGCGTTCTTGGTTGAAGGCAATGCCTATTTGTTCATTTGTCTTTATTTTCCAAATTTGATATCATGAACATATATTTGTAATCAGAAAAAAATAGGTGAGATCCTTTTTTTTTAAGGCAGAACACTAGATGGATAAAAGACCTCCCTGCCCCCTCTTTGAAGATACACATACACACACACACACACACACACACACACACACACACACATCCACCCCCAGGCTATGGATCTGAAATCTATATAAAGGACAGCCACACAGACCAAGAATCAACCATGGAGTTAACCTGTGTGAGCCTATCTCATCCCAGCCCTCACACCATGGAGAAGAGTTCACAGGGTCAGGCACCCACTCCTGAGGGACCATCCTCACCCCCAAAGGTGGGTGCTGACCTATGAGCCCTGGAAGGTGGAGTAGAAAGATCTGCATTATATGTACATTTTAGATCATCTCTAGAATTGGCCACTCTTGACAGAAACCAAAACATTTCTAGAACCTTGAGTGTCCCTGAGTGTCCGTCCAATGACTCGAGCATCAGGAAAGTCTGAGGTGATGTTTTTCAACATGTGGCAGGCTCATCCCAGGAACAGGGCAGATGATGGTGAGAAGTTATACAGCAGAGAAGGTGCGACCAAAGAAGGAGATGGAGGGACCAAGACAGAAGCCAGATGTGGCAAGAGCATATTTGAAGTTGGGAAGGTGCCCTGAGCTGGGTCCACAGCCCAGACCTGGTGAGCATCACAACAGGGGCCACATCACGGAAAGAATGAAACAGGCTGCTGAGAAACATGGGTGAACAAGCAGGAGCCAGGAGAAATCTAAATTCTTGTCCCTCCCGTCCTCAGAGGCCAGAGCCCTCCATTCTATCTGCACTGGGGGAGCAGAGAGGGGAGGAGAGCTCAGCCAGAATTATCTGGCAAAGCATTTGCTACTGGAACCTCTGCCTCTTGGATCAGCCTCGGAATGCCCAGTCCTCCCAAGTGCCAGAGGATGTGCAGGAAAGACAGAGTGAGTAAAAGATTTCCTGCACCAGCCAAATCGAACCAGTGGATCTCAGAGGAAAATGCAATACAAAAGCACTTTCCCCTAACCCCCCGCCCCCATCAGACCCCATCAGGGCAGGGCTTCCTAGACACCAGGAACGGTTTCCATGCTCTCCTTGAGAGCAGGGTCATGTCTCCTCCATCAGACGGGGAGATCAGTGAGGGGAGAGTCTAAACCTCCTCCATCAGAGCAGGCGGACTTCACATCCTCCTTCTGTCTGCCCACCGGAGACCCTGTGAGCCGAGCCCGGATTCCAGCTTCCCGCCCTCTGTCTGGCCAGCAGCTCTAGCCCGAGTGGCTGTGCGACCACAGAGGACAGACCCTATTCTGCCTCAGACCCCTGCCCCAGTTCACTGATGTCAACACCAGGAGGATGACCAGACGGGCCTCCTCATCGTCTGCCTCTGGCTGTGCTTGTAGCCAGCAGGACCCAAAATAGTCCCTCCTCCCTGCATCTGTAGACGTTTTGAGGGCAGCACACACAGAACGGAAATCCTGCTGGGCAAGCCCCACGCTTCCCTGCACAGACTCAGACAGCCCGCTGAGAGGGTGGGAAGCGGGAGCCAGGATCAGGCAGCCTGGAGTTTGGGGCTAATTATCTGCCTAATTCGGCTACAAACACCCACCCAGGCCTGAAAGCACTAGCACCCAGTACAGCGGAATCCTTGCAGGGCCAGCTGAAATGTCCCCTTGGGTTTCCCCAGTCAAGAGAAGCTCCTGCGTAGACCCCCTACAGAGTGTGGGCATGTCACCCATCTGTCCATCTGCCCACCCACCGTGCATCCACCAATCCAGGCAGACTTCACTGGATATCTCCTGCTAAGTCAGGTCCTCTGCTAAGTAAGCATTAAGGACACAAAGAGAAACATGCCCAGTCACTGCCCTAAGCCTAGTCTAGGAAGGACACTGCCATTTACAGAGACAAGCAGGACCTAAGGCAGGTGCAATGACCAACATACAGACAAGATTTGCAGGGAAGGGGGAGGAGCCAGGGAAGAATTCTGGAAGGAGGTGACTAAAACTAAGTTGAGTCTTAAAGAATGATCAGGTGTCCCCAGCAGAAAGGATGGTGGGGCAGAGCCCTGGAGAGCCACAGACACGGGAGAAATGGAGAGCTTGGGACTTCTGAGGACTCTCAACATCAGAGAAACTATAGAGCAAGAACTCTTGTTCTGGCAGCAGTGAGGCCCGGGGCTGAACACAAGGACACTCCCTGCAAAGTGAGATGATGAGCAAGTGATAAAGAAGAGGCTATCAGCCCATAATGTCAGAGGGAAGCCCCTATCAACACACCTGCAGGGACAGCTTTGAGGATCCTGAGCCCAACACCAAGTCTGCTCTCCTGCTCTCAATGCTGATATTGGATTGATGGTTTAAAGAAAACAAACCCTCCGAAGTGCTACACCATCCCGTCCCGGGGTGAATAAGCAGGCTCTGGGCATGAGGACACAGCTGCTAACTGCGTAGACAGGGAGGCTCTGCCCCCAGGCAGCCCCAACGCTCTGGGAGCCCCAGGTGCCAGGGGTGTGACCAGCATCATGCAAAGCTGAGAGGAGGTGACAACCTAGAACAGATGGCCAGTTTGAGGCCTATGCTCGCTCGTGGTGAGGCCTTTCTCCATCTCCACTGCAGGAAGGACTGGGTGGTCTCAGCCCGACAGGACTCAGAGCCACCCCAGGTCCCCAGGTGGGAAGAGTGCTCCCCCTCAGTGAGAGATGCCACACACACCCTGCCATGCTGTTTGGCATGGGTGTCTGACTCACCAGCTGGCTCTATGTTGCCAAGTGCATAGCAAAGGGACACCACTTACCTGCAGCAGGTTGGGACACCCTTGGAATAAGGCCCCCTCCCGCCCCTCTCCCTTCCTTTTCCTGGACATGGAGGAATGCAGGAGGTGGAGAGACTTGGACAAAGACCCCTCCTTCCAGGCCCCTCCATCTGTATGGTGTCCTTCCACCCAGGTCCAGAGGGAGACCTCTTGTAAAGGCCATGTGATAAGGAAGGGAGAGCAGAAGGAGTGGGAGAGATGAGGAAGGGGGTGGGGAGCAATCAAGACCAGCTCTTGGCCGGAACCAGTGTCTCTCCCCCAGGACCCAGTTCATCCTACCTGGATGGGGATGAGGGGCTCCTTATCGTCAATGTCAATGAGCACATCTTCCCCAGGACTGAGTAAGCTCACATCATCTGTAGGAGAGACCAGTGTCCAGGCCTGAGAGGGGGCTCCCTCCGGGATCGCGTCCCTCCTCAGCCACAAGACGCAGGGAACTATGAGACAAAACCCGTCTCTCTCTCCACACTTCTCAATCTTCCTCCTTCTCCCACCCAATTCTTCCCTCTCCCATCTCTGTCCCTCTCATCTTCCTTCACATTCCCTGTCTCCTGAATGGCCCTCTTCCTCCCTTCCCATTCCTCCCCTCCCTCCTCATACCACTGAATCCCAGCATCTCTCTCTCCCTCAACCACCTCCCACTTCAGCCCTCACCTCTCAGCCCCTACAAACACGTGTACCTGCTCCTGGTGTGCCCAGCCCAGATCCAAGCTATACCCTGGGGGAGATGAGATCCCTACCCTTCTGGTCAGCTGAGCAGAAACCACCCCTCAGTCAGGTCCCAGTAAAAGCAGAGCTTCAGGACAACTCTCAGTGGAAGTCCCACCTGCCCAAGGCCCCTCTGCCAGGCCCTCCCCATCAACAACCCCTCCACCTACCTGGGCCACCCTGTGGGGATGCACTCTCCCCTGAGTAGGGGTCACACAGGAAGCTCTCCAGAGAGCGGATGGTACACTGACCGACCACAGGCCGGCGGCCAAACTGGCGGTTATCAATGACCTTGATCACGATGGGGGGACAGTAGAGCTCCTCCCTGGGCAGCATCTGGGCAGAAGAGGAGGGAAGTTCTGAGCAGTGGCCTAAACCCATCTCTGGGAGGTCTCAGAGGAGGGGGGACAAGCCCAGGGAGAGAGAATGACTATGAACCCACATGTAACCTCCAGTGGCCATGACACCAAGGTGGTGGCTGGCTGAGCCCACGAGCTGGCCAGGGAAGTAGAAAACACACACCTTTCCTCCTGCCTCTTGAACAGTCTACGTGGAGGCCAGCTTTTCCCCCACAGCCTTACCTTCCAAACACATCAGCTCAGCCCAGAGTGAAAGCAAGTCTCCTTTCCCTGAACCCTCACTGGCTGGGAGGGGACGAGGGGAGAAGTTGGCCCAGGACTCAACATTTCTTGCAGACAGTCCCCCCCAAGTGGATACTCAGGAGTTGGCTTATAGTCCCAGATTCTTCTCCCCACCCCACCTCCCCAGCCCCAAAAGCACTTTGAACACAACTTGAAATAATTTATATGCTCTCCTTCGGTGGCGGGTTTGGCTCAGCCAAGAGGAGGCTCCTGTTGACAGCCACTGGGCCTGGAATTTCTATAGTGCTTTCATCTTGCAAACCATGTTCCCTTCCTCAGGCTGGCCTTGATCCGGCCACTAGGCCCAGGCAGCCCCGGGAGCTGGAGAGGACTGGGGGCCGGAGGGCGGTAAGGTGAGCCCATCTGTGGAGGCCCAGGTGGGGAGGCTGGTCAGGGAAGGTTTGGAAGATTAGAGCCCTGGCGGGCCCCGAGGGGAACTTCAAAGGATAGAGACCTTCCCTAAAAGAGAGAACAGCCATGGTGATGGGTCCTTAGGACCTCTGCGGACTCGGGATCTGGGTAGTCGGGAGCAAGCTGGTCCCATCGGTGTTGCTCATAGGCTTCACCTCTTCCGGTGAGGAGAGCGTGAGCATTTCCTCCCACTTTCATAGACAAGCGAGGTGGGAGAGACACCGTGACCACACAGGTTCCCAGAGGAGTCGGAGCAGATTCCCAGACTGCTGGGGGTTGCCAGGAGGTTCTAGCCACCAGGGCACTGGAAGAGGACTGCAGGGGGTTCAGGCTCACCACTTCCATGAAGAGGGTGCAGATGTCAAAGTTGGGGTTCTTCCGGAGGTTCCTGATGACACAGGACTGTACCGTCTGGCCCCCGCACTCCACCACAAGGCTGGGGGAGGAGACATTGGCCAGCTGGTAACTCTTCATGTTCCGCAGGCCCCATGCCAGGATCTGGGGACACAGAGTGAGGAGAGCAGCTAGAAAGGCCATGGGAAGGCTGGGCCAGGAAGGGGAAGGTCCAGGCTGCCCTCCAACCCCCACACGGGAGCCAGGCTCACCTCGATGGCGGTCCGCTGGAGAACTGGCTTGATGTTCTGGGGAACCATGTAGATG